ATGTTTCTTTATGTCAAAAATTAAAAAATTATGGAGCATGATTATTTTCTCACCAATGCCGCGAAGAAAATTTGTACATTATTCAACTAACTTCATCTACTTGTACTCATAAACAGCTAACTTCGCAGATACTACTTACCGACGGCACTTCAGGGACAGGCGGGCTATGCTTTAGAGCGTAGCAATTGTTCTCCTTCTCTCTAACCTCCATGGTGGCAGCGCTGTACACACCATCAAGTCCGGAGGTAAGGACTCATTATAACCAACAAAACGAGCCCAAACTCGGCACACCTAGTTCTACCCGTCCAGGAGTTCCAATAGTAGTTACCGAAATACACTTTCAGGTCACTCTATCAAGTCCGGAAGTAAGGTCTCATGATAATTAACAAAATCAGCCCAAACTCGGCACACCTAGTTCTACTCGTCCAGGAGTTCCAGTAGTAGTTACCAAAATACACCTTCAGTTTACTCCATCAAGTCCGGAGGTATGTTAGGTTATTATCTTATCATAACTAACAAAACCAAGCCCAAGGTCCACAGCTAACATCTTACTACCAGTAGAGGACTTCCAATGCCAATCAGTCTCTGGAGTAGGTATTCGTATTTCGTATCTAAGTATAGTTTTGAGGTATAAGAAATCACATAGTCAAATAAAATTATCAATGTTTTTTTATATTTTTTATAATTTTTCATTATTTTGATAATTTTATTTGACTAGGTACGATTCCCGCAGCCAACCATGCGTACACTTGTGTGTGACCCGTTTCAATGTAATAGTTCGATTATATATATCTATCAATTGTGTAAACGCGTCCTTAAGCAAATACAATTCTTAAAAACTGAAAATAAGCTCATATATAATTGTGGACAACATATAGCTTGTAATTAGTCATCTAACGATGCCTCGAACTATTCTATCAAATAGAGATAAAAATGTCACAGTGCACTTAAGTTTTCAATATCTTACATCATATAACGTAGTATATAACATAGTAACGTAACAAAGGAAGTTAGGAAGGTAGGAAATTATTGCTATGCCGATATACACCCAATAAGTATATTTTTAACTAAAGAGCTTCTCTTTTAATCACAGTTTTGTATACACAGCCTACCTATCCAGTATAACAGTTTAGTTAGTTATTTTGTTAAATGTGGCAATTACGGTAAATCATCCCGATAATGGCTGGATATTTCATGTTTTTGATAATGCAATTAGTATTCAGTAGCATTATATTTAATCTTATTAGTTAGTTATTATTTGTTTATTTAGCAGTAAGTCGATAGCGCTAATATTAGATTAAAACTATGAAAGCCAAAATTGTCAAGTTATGTAAATGTGGCCAGATCGTAGAATTGATCATATTATTTTAATGAAGTGCTAGATCACTTCAAATATCGCAGTCATCTCTACATAGTATAAAACAAAGTCGCTTGACGCCGCGTCGTCTGTATGCTTAGACCTTTTAAACTACGCAATGGATTTTGATGTGGTTTTCATCAATAGACTAATGATTCAAGTGGAAGGTTTGTATGTAAGTATAATACATGCATATTATAGTAATCTATAAATGTAACATCAATTGATATCCGATAGTCTCACTAAAACTCACAGATATGATTGTTTGTAAGATTTAAGGGTGCCTGGATGGTTTAGATTTACAATTGTACCGGGCAGGTGGCAACGTTGCCGATATCCAGACTCACCCGTGCGAAGCCTTGGCGGATCGCTGGTATCGTATAAATACGTCAACGTTTGTCAACATTATTAAATAAGAAGTCAATTCTCGTTTCGCCATAATATCATACGAAAGCATCATTTAGTATTATCAGCGACAGCCACCTCAAAGCCGCAAATTTCAAAAGTTCTCGATGAGGCATAAAGTTATGTGGATTCTGTTAAAAAATCTATTTCTGTTAAAAATGAGCTATTAGCGCCGCTAGTGGTGAATAGTAAAACTATTTTACGATATAACTAAAATATCATGAAATAGAAATGTTAGGTTTAGTTGTTAATTTCTTCAAACAATATCTGTTCATTGATTTGTTCAAGCTTTATCATGATATGGTCAACAGACAGTCTTAAATTTCACGAAATGCAACAACCTTTGCCGGTACTGGGACGAAAAGGAAAAAAGCCTTTCACAAAGGACTTCAAATGTCAATGGAACACCAGAGAGCAAAGAATATAATTAACTAGTAACTTTGGAATACCATCGGAACACGTAGTAAAAATGTATAAGGTCTTGTTTGATAAAATATGAGGTAGTTGAAAAAATAAAAATAAATATTTAATTGACTTCTTTTTATTTTAACAGTTATAAAATTTATTTATATTTATGATTTTTAAAACATTCGTTGTATTGCAATTGATTGTTAGTAAACCATAAGTTACTTTAGCCTCTTACAAGAAAACGCAAGTTTTCTTGTAAGAGGCTCAGGATTTTACCGGAGAATTTTAATATTAATATATTAAACTTAATTATTTCATTAGCTCGTTTTCTTTTATACTATTTTAATGGTGGTTTTATTTAATAAAACTTAAAAATTAAGGCCTACTGCAGGACATATATACGCCTTTTCAATAACGTGCAATCAGATATGCCTTACTCGAAAGTTGCCTATATTCACATCGAAGAACAGGCGGGCTTGTGAACACAGACAAACTAATAATGCTGATCTTCTTTGGGGTCTGGGTTCGTCGTTTTTGGATGGATTGTCCCATTTTCAGTCGGTCGTCACAGCCTCGTCTATGCAACTGAGGTTCCCGTTTCGGTAAAGGTAAATTCCGTAGAATACTATAATACATACATAATAGAACGGGGGAGTGGGCGGAGCCCATGTAGCCACTAAAATGTCACTAACACGTCAATTCACACGCACAAATGTCAACACAAGGTGTGTTTTGACGTTACAATCGTTTCCAAATTTCCCATGCAAATTATTTAGAAAATGCCAAATTGCACGCTATTTACAAATAAATATGTATTAAAATCTGTCTGTCAACACAGCGAATCGGGTTTGTAGTAGTGATAATACGACCTTATTGCTTGTATGTGTGCTCCCGGTGACGCCTATCGTCGTACAAAATAAGGTTGACAGCCATTCTATTGTGTATTATAGAATTCTACAGTAAATTCCCTATTGAACCTCAGATAAGGACGAGTCCTAATTCTGTACTATATTTTATATGGCGAAGTTGATATTTTTATATATAATTGTAATTTAATATATATTTATTATAATTTATATTCTAATTTTAAACTGAAGTGGTAAACGAACTTACAGCTCACCTGATGGTATGTAGCTATTGCACGTCATAAACAACTCTCACGTGGTAGAGCCACGCTGCAGCTATTATGGTTGTAGCATGAATGGGTCGGCTCGACCGGGGAAGGACCACGCTCTCACAGAATATCAGCGTATAATAGCAGCTTAATGCTGCTGTGTTTCGTATGGTGAGTGTAGACAACCGGTGACCTTTTCACTGGAAACGACGCATTCCATCTTAGTCCTCACGGGTGACAACGCATCTGCATTTTGATTCGTAAATGAGGATAGATTTTGATGTCTATGGGCCACAGCAAGCACCTACGATCAGGTGGACTGTGTGCTCATTTGTCACCCTATCACATAAAAAAACTGCTGTCAATGTCTCACAGTCTATAATTATATGATTATATTATCTACTAGTTCTTTACACAGTTGAGACTTGAGACGAGAACAAGGCAGTGCAGGCATCAATATTTGGACTCAGAAACAGGAAACAGGGTGGTGCCAACCCAGAAATACTCTTAGGCAGAAAAGTAATCCTACCACCTAGAAAATTTGTCGTATAAACGAATGACGTCATCGCGCTCGTCTCTTTCCTTAAAACTTGTTTTTTAAAAATATTTTTATAAGTATTGTAATAAAAACTATTTACAAACAAGAATATATTATTTGTATTGAATTATCTGGACTAGACCTACATAATATTATTTACTACTTTGGTTGATGTTATTACTTTATAAACAAAATATATACTTATAATAGAATTAAAACTTAAACTAGTAACTATAACTCGATTTAAGTCGGCTCAACACTATAAAGTGAAAAGATTCTATTTTGTATTAACTATTCGTGCGTAGCCTTTGAAAAAATTTATGACAAAAATGTTTTAACATTACAGGTACAAATACGGTAATATTTTAATTTATTCATAAATAACTTTTTTACGGCATTTATCTTTATTATTACTACTAAATAGATTGCCTTTGTGTTATATCGCATTTACACATGCGTGCTCGTTCACTCTGTTATTCGACGAATTGTTTGGCGAGATGTTCGTGAGGCTTTAGGCTACACAAGTGATAAATGTAGGAAACAGAGTGAAATATGTAAATAATAAAAGTAGAAAATTTTAATGCGAACTTCTATGTTCAATTGGTATTGATTTCATTCGATTGACATTTAATTTATCTTTCTCTAAATAACAATTTTATATGTAAAATAAAATAGATAATAAGTTTTATAAACTAAGATCTAAATCAGTTTCAAAATTATGTCTACTTTTTCACAGAAATGTAGATGCATACTAATACTTCTAGTGGACGTAGTTGTAGAACATATTATTTATTATATTGTTACATAATATTTTTTGAGTTTAACTTTAATTTTAAATTAAAATATAATTAAAATTATTACTTTTATCTTTAGCTACAAAAAATCCAATTATTTGCAGTGCAAGTATAATTTAAATGGTTCCATTTTTCCTCTTACAAATTATAACGTGCTACGTTTGTCGGCGGTATTCTTTCTAATCTTAAAATAGTTAAAATCTAGTTCAATATTCAACTAATGAAATAATTAAAAACATTTGTACTACTGTGTAAACGGCGATAACAAGGCCATAAGTTATTATTTATAACTCTTAATAATTAAAGTTCAGTGGTAAGTTCGTCTTGAGGCCGCCTCGTCATTTCGAAGAGCTCATCTTCAAGCCACACACTCTCTCTTCTCACAATCTGTCTCCTCTCCCATGGATCGGAGAGGATGATTGTCTCCTCCTGCCCCTCTGTTTGCGTATAATTCTCTTTCTCCCTCTCGATTTGTGAGTAACTCGGTGGTCTGATATTATTCCACTGACATTGTTTTAGTTCTTTGTCTATTGTGTGGCTGTCAAAAGACGTGGGGGAATAAGAAGGTGGTTTAAATGTTGAAAATGATTGCTGCGTAGTTTCCGAATCTGATTCCTGACTCGATGGAGTTGGCAGAAAGTTTACTAGTTGGCTCTGTTGTTGCTGACCAATGCTCATACGGCTGTAGCGTTTTAATATCCTGTAATATACATAGTATTTTATAACTTTAAAAATCAAATAGTTATTAAAACTTTTAATTAAAAATCAGATATTAAAGATTGAAGTTTTAACGGAGACTAGTCATCTGCGCACTCCCTAATCCTTCAAACGGCAACCGGATTATACCGGAATGCACGCACTTTACAAGGCGCGGGGGTGAATTACCAGCAATTTCCTGACTCCGGTCTGCAAAAACAAACCCAAACAGATTTTTGGCCCGACCTGGGATTCGAACCCGGGACCCCTCGATCAGCAGTTGTGCTACGTGCTACGTGTGGTACAGTGACAAACGAGGCAATCATTTTTTATTTTATCTTATACCCCGATTTTTTATCAACATTATATTATGCGTTCGTTAATAAAATCGACTAACATATTTTTTTTAACAGGAACTTCGACATAAATAGATACTTTTAATGGCTTCGAATCCTTTTAACGGGTTCGAATCCTGCACGGAACAAGTATTTGTATGGCCTAGAAATAATTGTTCCGGGTCTGGATGTTTGCCCTTGTGAATTTTATGTTTGTAAACTGCCCCACGAGACAGGTAAAAAACCTAGTGTGGAGGTAACGTTTAAAAAAAAAAGGAAAGAAACAGACTTTAATCATAATCATTAATTTATTTATTCAGCCTTTTATAGGCTCATTGCTGCACATAATAGGTTACATTACTTTTCGTGCCTCATAGGTGGGATATTTGGCTCTATTATTTAGAGAGATCTATATTATTAGAGCCGTGGTAGCTCAGATGGTTAACGCTCGCTGTAAATATAATAGAACGCGAGTAACCCGGGTACGATCCCCTCCGGCAATAATTAAATTGTTAATTGCCATTTTAAATGCTGATTTACCACGTGCTCGGCGGTGAAGGAAAATATCGTGAGGAAAACTGTATGTTTGAGGAATAAGAAAAAAATATTTCGAACACATGTGAAGTTCGCCAACACGCATTGGGGCAGCGCGGTGGACATTTCTTTGCCCTAAAACCCTCTCAGAAATGAGGGGAGGCCTGTACTCAGCAGTGGGACGTATATAGGCTGTAACTTTACTTACTTTTCTATTTCGCCTTATAGCACGTAACTATGTGGTTGCCACGCTTGGCTGGCAGGTTGGCAACCGCAGTTTTTTATCTTGTTATCAATATGATGCTGCTTTCGATTTCTTGAATTCTTTCCTTTTGTCGCCTTTACGACACCCACGGAATGATATAGGGTATCGTATTCTCTAATATTTTACGAGTAAATATAATATTATGTGTTAAATTTCATTAAATGTTTTAAAAATGTTACCTTTCCGCCCAACTAGCGAGCCTCGGCCACTCATCAGGCACGACGGGCACTTGTTGTTTATTCAACAATATGAGCAGCTTCGCCAGATCACTCAGCACGCAACTGCATTACAGAGGCTAATATTAGACTCGGTGCTGTGAATAAGTGTGGTATGCGCAGATCGCGGCGTGTTGCACGTATATGGGCTTTTATGAACTTGGACAATCGAACATATTATGTTTATATCTGAGTTCTTTCTTCGCTAATTTGTTTTTACTCAAATATATCGTATATAAGGAATCGTGTTTTGTGGTCAGTGGCAGGACACAACGCTTTTGGACTGTTCGAATCTAAGATTTAAGTTAAATTAGTAGAATGTACAGTGGTAGAGCCATGCTGCAGTTTTATCAGTAGTACAGTTGTAGCATGAATGGGTCGGCTCCACCGTGACAGGAACACGCTCTCACAGAACACCAGCGTAAAATAGTAGTTTAACGCTGCTGTGTTTCGTATGGTGAATGTAGAGAACCGGATACCCTTTTCACTGGAAATGAGGCATTCCTTCTTAATCCTCACGGGTGGCAACGCATCTCCATTTTGATTCTTAGTCGAAGATAAATGTAGATGTCTATGGGCCACAGCATCCACTTACCATCAGGTGCACTGTGTGCTCGTTTGTCACCCTATCCTATAAAAAAAAACAATCAATGCTTCAAATTAATGATTACTATTCATATAACTGAATCATAACGCTCTACGCCTTCTATAAATTTTACAGTACACGAGCAATTCGGGTTCGATCCTCGTAAGCGTCAATGAAATGTGTAATTGCAACTTTAAGTGCTGATTTACCACGTGCTAGGCGGTGAATGAAAACATCGTAGAGAAATCTGCAAGTCTAAGAAATTTAAAAAAAAAAACGAAGACACGTGCATTGTGCAGTCAGTCAACACGCATAAGGGCAGTGCGGCAAACACTTCCTTGGCCTAAAGCATTCTGCGAAATCAGACGAAGCCTGTGCCCAGCTGTGGGTCGTATATAAGATCAATCATCACTTCGAATCAATTTCGTTTTTACTTCACTCGTATAACATCATTCATTTAGAAGAGCCTCGCTGCAGCTATGTTATAGTTGTAGCACGACCGGGTCAGCCCGACCAGGGAAGGACAACGGTTTCACACAATACCAGCGTAAAATAGCAGCTCAAAACTGTTGGGTCTTTACCCACCATACGAAACCAAAGATCCGGAGACCCTTTTTTTGGAAACGAGACATTCCATCTTAATTCTCAGAGGTCACCGCATCTGCATTTTGATTATTATAATCATATAGATGTAGATGTCTATGTGACAAAGCATCTATGTACCATCGGGTGGAATGTGTGATCGTCTGTTACCCTTAATTATTAAACAAATCATGAAGGCAAGGAAAATTGGAAAATTTTCTAAATGTCACTCATTATTTATTATATCTGACAATAGAATTCATTTAGGGTTTCTCATCATCATCATCATTAGAGCCCTTCACAAGTCCACTGCTGTACGTAGGCCTCCCCCAAGCAACGCCACAAAGCACGGTCCTGAGCCACCTGCATCCATCGACTTCCTGCCTTCTTACCAGGTCGTCACTCCATCTAGTGGGGGGTCGCCCTACACTACGCCTACCGGTACGAGGCCACCACTGGAGAACCTTTCTTCCCCATCGGTTATCGGTTCTTCGAGCTATATGGCTGGCCCATTGCCACTTCAGCTTACTACCGTTCCGGCTATATCGGTCACTCTCGTTTTACTGCGGATATCCTCATTTCTGAGTCTATCACGCAGAGAAACTCCGAGCATAGCCCTCTCCATAGCTCGCTGAGCGAGCTTGAGCGTCCTCATACGGCCAGCAGTGAAGGATGACGTCTCAGATCCGTAAGTCATCACTGACAACACCCACTGGTTGTACACTTTAATGTCGTTGCTCATGGGGGGTTATTTGCCATAGTTAGCAATATATATTTTTATATTTTATTATTAGCAACTATGGCAAATATCCGTTTAGGGTTTCTAGTATAATAAAAATATTACTATTTTTTGTGGTATAAACTATAGCTACGTGTTTCAACGAAGTTCTCGTACGCAATAATTTCGTAATAATGAACATCTATAAGTATTTTATTTTATTAAGAATTTAGTTCGTTAAGATTTGCTTTTTTCATATACCTGTATGCCATAGCTGCATCATTATTACCAAGTTGATAAAGCTCTCTCACTTGATGCCGCGTGTGGTTCAGAATTGCCAGGAGCGTAAAAGCATGAGGCTGGAAAATAAAACAGAGTAAAAAAAACGTACATTGGGTGCGTTTGGCAGAAAAAAGCGCTAGCAAGCGCTTGTAAGCAAAATGGCGATCGTAAGCGGTAAGCGCTGTCAAATCGTAAGTAGCTACTTTCCTCTAGGACACGATGTTAGTTTTAATCGGGGAACCTAACCTAATTTAAATATATTTTTGTAAAGTATTCATATTAAAAACTTACCAATCATGATTTTTTAATAACATTTATATGTCTATTCATGTCATTATATTACTTAAAACTAATATTGCAAAAAAAAACAACTTATAAACTCTACTTCAAAACAAACAAATTAAATATACAAAATGGCGGATTGTGTCAGCGCTACTGAAGTAGCAATCGTGTCCTGGCCGAAAACTATTTTAGCGCTAGTAAGCGCTTGCTAGCGCTTTTTTCTGCCAAACGCACCCATTACTTTATAATTCAAGCATCACAATATGATTAAAAAGCACCAAACTAGAGACATTTCGTTTGCGGTTATGAGCTCTCTTACCTACTATTTGGACCTATTTTAGAGGAACTGACGACTGTAATATAACGTTTCTTTCTTTGATTCCAAACAAAATTTTATCAAGCTTTCTATTTGCTATAATTGGAAATAAATCTACAGTGCCTTAAAACCATAACGCTATACAAGTAAATTTAACCCATAAATAAAAATACTTTCAACAGCAAAATTATGAAAGACATGGCATTCATTACTCAATTCGTATACTTCCATACAGTGGATACTTTAGTACCACTTTAAAGAATATTCGGTGAATTAGCCGAATATTCGGTAAAGCTGCCGAATACCGAATATAAAACGAATATTTGACCCACCTCTAATTATAATATTAAGGAATTTATGGATAATAATAACCCCTGGGAAGGGTGATTTTTTATTTCTTTTTCTAATTTGTTATGTGTTGTTAATTGTAACATACATAATTGTAAGCTGTTATTTTTTAAAAGAAGTCTCACAGGTTTTCTTGCTGGTTTTTCCCAGGAAAGAAGTTTTTTTCCGAACCAGTGGTAAATAAAAAAAGTGACTTTCAATAAGTATTATTTATAATCTATATTAAATAAAAAGTATATGTTTCTGTTTATACCAAATTGCAGCTCAATCAGATTTAAATATACATATATACATGGATAAAGGAATTGGGTTCAAAATCGGTTTCGCAGAGGTCGACATAAACGAAAACTAATGCTTAGTAGCTGTAATTTGTAATAATAATAATTTATTAAACTTGATATTTATTATAGCTGAGTTTTATATCTATTTATTTTGTTAAATTTTGATGAGAAAATGAAGTCAAGTTTACTCACTTAACCAAAAGCAAAGTTTTTAAATTGCTAAGTATTTTGTATAAATAGAAAAAAAAAACTAGAGAAAACTAGATAAAACTAGAGATAGGATTTTTAAAGTAATTTGGATATTGGGGACTGAGGTATCAGTTAATTTTGGAAAGGGGGACTCATGCCCAAAATTGTCTGGGAATCCCTGGATATACAAAGAAAATTGATGCTACTTCCTGTCGTCGGTTTGCATATTCAACCTTCGGCATAATCGAGGTTATACCGACATCTATCAAAATCTAAGTTTTTTTAATAGTTTGATGATGATGGAGCGGCAGTGCATTTTATTAAAACTAATTTAATCAGGCAATGTTTCAATGTAAAAATATTCTATTCAAGTATATCTACATATTGTGTAAGTGAGACCAACTGGTTCTAATGATCGTGTGTGGAAACGTACACATGTCATTATTACCTATGTCAGGTTTTCCTCTCATTAATGAATCTCCGTTCTAGCTTACACGTGTCCCGACACATGAGTAGATTCCGTTTATCTACTCATGTGCCGACACGCACTGGGCAATTTTTCATAAGAGATTAAAATAGGTATTATGTTTTGAGGATTTATGATTTACATTTCTCTTTTGTTTCCTTGCGTACATTTATTATAATCCACAGTGATTTAGTATTAAAAAAGGCTATGAGTTAATACGAATGAGATCATGTACTGTTGCGGGTTGGTACAAAAATAAATTATAACTTTGTAGTGTTTGCTTGAATGTTACAATTACTCCAAGCAGCTCGACATATATTTTATTTATTTTCTATATATAAATATCTCATTTTACGCGGTATTATTAAACGTATTCTAAAGTTATATGTATGTATTATTCCTTGTATTGCATATGCGGATTGTGAGTTTTATGTTATAATGATACCCCATGCCATCCCATGGCTAGACACAGGCTTCCTCCCATATAGAGAGAGAGGCTACTGAAAATAGAATCCGTAATCTATATATCACGGATAATATCTAAATAATATCCGTGTCTTTTAATGTAAACTGAGTCACGGGTCTGCCGACGAGGTTTGCTTGTGCCGATTTGCCTGCGCAAAGAATTGACTTTCGATCTAATTTTGGCCATACACACTACGGTCTACCGAAGAGGTAAAACCTGGCAACCGGAAATATTTTTTAACGCTACTAAACATTTTCTTTAAACCGTAACGTTTATGGCTTACATTACGCTCCGTTTTACGAGTACGTGCGCGGGCACTATTTAATACAACAAATTTTTTACAACGTTTTTCATGTCTCTTGTTTTTCAACCTGTCTGTTTCTCGTTCCGGGTGGAATCTTCCAACTCAAATTTCAAGCAATTCCCGAAGAGCTAGAGACTTTAAAGAATATGATTCAGAATCGGATGACATTGTAAAAAAACGTGGTATATTAATCTTTTTAGTACTAAATAAAAAAAAACACTTGTTAATATAATGAATCTCGTATTGATTTTAATGAACTCCATGTTATATACGAGTAAACGGGTGTGCAAACTTGAAACATGATTCCGCGATTTAACAGTCTAGTAGGTGGACTGCTAGGCAAAATCCTATTATTGTCACTCGTAAGATCAAACAAGTCACGGTAAGCTACGCATATTAAACAGGCTCTTTGACAGATGATATGTGAGAGTGAGGTGAGAAGTGAAGTTTCGAAAGTGAGAGACGTTGTGTATCAAATCACAGTACAACGATACTTTTCACCGCAACATAATCATGATCATTTCACGGAACGTTAAGGGTCGTTGAGAAACGCGTTGACACGGGATTTAGTTCATATTATCAAGCTTTTATATTTTCTAAAAGGTCTTCTTCATCATCCGACAATCACGTTATTATCAAATCAAAATAGCTATGGACGCCATTTGGTGTTTTTATTAGTTACATATTACAAAGTTGAAATTGTGAGAGACTGGAGTCTATACTAGGATTCCCCGTATGGCAGATTACCAACTTCTCGTCTTACGGATTACACTGCCTGTATATATAAAAGAGAGTATATTAATAGGATACAAAAGAAAATACAAAATTAAATAACAACAACTTAAAAACTAAGAAACAACTAAAATTCAAAAACACAATAGACTTGTCTTAAAATCTCTGTATTTGACAGGTTTCAATTAATGAAATTCAATTTATTGATACGAAATTCGAACAGATTGTTTGTCTTATTGACTCAAGTCGTCGTCAACAATTTATTCGTATCTGGTTATATTAAATAGTGTTCGGAATTCAAGTTTGATTTACAGTTTACGCAAGGTAAATCATATTATCGTGTGAAGAGACAGATAGATTCTGAACTACGAACGTTTTTAGGCTTATCGTTGTCGCACATTCGATGTTACTGCGATTATAAATCGCGCCTAAAAATATTAAAAAGTTGTAGTACACGACGCATGACAAACTACGAATATTGTTAATATTCCATTTGAATACCGTTCGTCTACACTACGGGAGAATATCTCGGGGTAAACCTTAAAAAAAAGGTAAGATAAAAATTTATTCACATATTTATTTTTAGCCGATTGAAAAAGTAGGATTTTAGAGGTTTATAATTTGACTGTGTGTTTTTTATGTATGTTACGCGAAATCTTCGCCAGGTGTACTCTTCCAAGTAGGAGGTACCATCGGGCAGCCGGCGCTGGTTGACTCGCCTATTTTTGCGAAGGCTTCACGTGGCCCTGCGAATATGCGTCGTAGCTCGTAGGTGGAATATATGACGTATTGATAGAGTCACGGGAAATACACAACGCAACTAGATTCGAAAACTAACAATTTGTAAGTCATTTTAACTACATTATAGCGCAGTTAGTACGCGTTTGGTCGTAGTATTGCTCACTAGTATTTTTAAGCCTTATATATAATTGTTTCAGTTACTATATATTTATCTTTTGAGATTAATGAATATAAAATACCTCCACGACACAGAAGTAATTCCTAAGGTGGAGTTAATAATAAAAATGCCATGTGATGGATTCCAACTTAAGACCCTCGGAATTTTTGGCTAAAGCTGCACGGCCACCCCGCACCCATCAAACCAGTTTTGTGTACATTTATAAAGTGTTGCGTTATTCAGATTAAAAATAATCAAGGACTACTTATTTTACAAATATTCTGTTTCTTTTTTTAATTCAAAAAAGAAACACTAATGTTTTTCGGATATAATATATAGCCTAGATCTGTTCGTTAAGTTTAATCAGATGCAGTCCAGCTAATCCGAAGATCAGCGTGAATAGACAGGTAGAGAAACATTTTTAAAGTTATTATTTATGTCCTATTTATCCCATATAATATGCAAACAACCGCCTGAGCTTATAGAAAGCCAGTTATTTCAATAGTACATAGAGAAACATCAATTTTTATAATACGTATAGATTATATCAGTAAGAATAGTATAGTAACCGTCTCGTTTGTCTAGTGCTTGTAGTAGTGCGACCGCTGATCATGAGGTCTTGGGTTCGATTCCCGGGTCGGGCCAGAAAAATATCAGTTATTGAGTTTTTCCATTAAAAAGTGTAAGATGCCCGGAGTCAAGAAGTTAGCGGTGTCTCACCCCCGCTCCGTGCCTTGGAAAGCACGTAAAGACGTTGGTCCTGCGTCTGATCTCTCTCTGGTTATGTCGGATTACCGTCCCATTGTACCATGAGAGTAAAGTAAAGGAATAGAAAGTGCACCTGTGCTTGCAAAAAATTATAATTTTAATCTGAAGGTAACCGTGGTTTTTGCGTGGTAGAGACACGATGCAGCTATATTATGGTTGTAGCACGAATGGATCGGCTCGACCGGGGAAGGACCACGATCTCATAGAATACCAGTGTAAAATATTAGCTTAATACTGCTGTGTTTCGTATGGCGAGTGTAGAGAATGTGAATGTTAGTCCTAAGGGGTGAACCTAAAACTTGGGCACTTTAATCCTGTCCTGGCTAGTCCGTTAAGGCTCGCCGCCGTGACCGAAATCGGTCTGGACGACATTATTATAGTTTATTTACTACTATATCTTTAGATTGTTAAATAATAAACAAAAACGATTAACGTCGCATACCACTAATCGACGGTTATTGATTTCATGGACGAACGCTTACGTGGAATTTCTGGAAGGTTTTTTTCAACTGCGCATTTTGTGATCCGATTGACAACTGGCACGTCAAAACGATGCTAATTTCTTCATGCTTGACGAACCTCCGCTCTCAACATTTTTCTTGAAATATTTTTAACGCATACTTGTAAATGACAACCGTAGCTTATGTTTGAGACAAGACAACGTTTGAAACTATTTCTATTTAATATTATACCGTTGTTACAGCCTATCAAAAGTCCAAAGCTGAATTTTTTTTTAATCATCTTTATTCAGGCAAATTACACCCATATCCAGTAAAATCAAAGAATTTAAAATCAGTCTCCAAAATTAAGCAATAAGTAAATCAATGTCAATACAAAGTAACAATTTTAAAATAATAGATCTAGTCAATGTAAATAGGCAGTAATGTCAGTATATAAAATATATTGAAATAAAATTAAAATTAATAAATAAATAACAGAATTACACATATTTGTCAGTCAGGAGACGAGATCAATAATTAAAACTATTATTTATGAGAGAGGTTATATTTGCCATAGCTGCCACGCTTGACAGGCGGGCTGGCAACCACACTTTTTTATTTTAGAAAGCCGCTGTTGCCCATCTCCTGGTTTGTTTCCAAGTGCCAACTCTTACGACACCCACAGGAGAATATGGGGTAGTGGATATTCTTATACTGCCTACTACACCGTGTATTTAATATTATGGTTCAAGGGAATTGTTAATTCAGTTTAGAAGAGAAGAGATATATATTATACGAGTACATAATTAAGAGCCGTGGTAGCTCAGATGGTTAACGCTCGCTGTAAATATAACAGAACGCGAGTAACCCGGGTTCGATCACCGCCGGCACCGATGAAATGTATTGCACTTTTAAGTGCTACCACGTGCTCGGCGGTGAAGGAAAAAATTGTGAGGATACCTGCATTTCTGAGGAATAAGAAAAAAATATTTCGAAGACACATGAAGTTCGCAAACACTCATTGGTCATTAGGGCACCGTGGCGGACACTTCCTTGCCCTGAAGCCCTCTCAGAAATGAGAGGAGGACTGTGCCCAGCAGTGGTACGTATATAGGCTGTAACTTTACTTTACTTTACTTTACATAATTTATTTAATATACATTACTCGATTTGACTTAATGGATTAACCTGAGCAGCGTAGCTGATGTGAAGTTTTTGCTTGAAGTTTTTGCGAAGTGAGACGTATTTAATATTTATGCTGTTACTTTTACTTAACTTTTTACAGATTAAACTACTATCAGCACTAATAACTGTAAATTGCTACTGAAAGTACAATTAAAATACGGTTACAACAATAATTGTAAAATACAGATGGCACAGAATCGTAGGTACTTGTTATTTATGAGAATATTTAAGGGTTTTGAGCTATTTATTACAGTAAAATGAATTATAATGTGTCTATCAAAATCAATATTTCCAGCCTTTTGTCAGTATACTAAACATATGTTTTATAACGCCAAACAGGCAATCATTACGTGAGCAGCCTGTACTCACCATGATGGGCATTTGAGTTGATGAGCGGATATCTTTATATCCTCTTAATAAGACTCAAAAATAACCTATTGTTCGACGTAGTCCTCTTTCATAGAACGTATGTTTTACTAGTCAATACAGTATCAATACGCTTACTGCCATTTATACAATGTACTTGATGACCTTTTTTACCGTCTGGAAAAAATAGGGTGTAACATGTGAACGGAGTAGAAGCCTATGGCACTGATATTTTACCCTACTGTGACCCTGTGAAGTGACAAGGTCAAAGATGTCTACTAAATTTATTATTTTATTGCCGTTTGTAAGTAGTAGTAGGGTGGATATGATTTGAATTTCGATAGATTTTAATTAATTTATTTACTTGATTTAAATTTTTTGTTTTTATTTTTTGTAAAATATTAGTGTCATAAGCTTTTACTCCGTTCACATGTTACACGCTATTTTTTTCCAGACGGTAAAAAATTTTATCCAGTATTTAACATTAAATAAAACTAATTTTACGGTTATATCGCGTTTAATTGAGTTTATTTTTAATTCTCGACGTTTCGGGTGCTGCAAAATTAACCATATTTTTTAAAATATCGGTAAAATTTGTTAATTTAACCCGGCGAGGATGTGGTACAAAAAGTGTACGTCAAGTATGAGGAGGGTCATTTTGACCCTGTACTAAAATATCGATTTTTGTGCAATTGTTTTATGTTTTTATTATAATATTGTAAATAATCTTTTACTTAGGTATATAACTATTATTTTTATGAAACAAAAATATAAAATCCTTTATTATTGTTAAAGTTACATTTATTTTGAAAAGATACAAAAAAATAATCAATGTTAACAAAACTTTTACATAAACATTACAGAAAATCAACAAAAACAATGTTTTACTTTTTCTAATTGAAATCTATAACAAAGACTATAAGAGACCAATTACTTCTAATCACAAAAAAATATTACGTATTTATATAAATCAATTAATACCCACTCGCTGAGCTACAATCTTGGCAGTAAATAATGGAGTGCTCCGGACATATGTACTTGCGACAATTTTCACAGACGTGGTTCGTCTTGCGATGTTTTGCGTAAGGGCACACTTGGCACCTTTTTCGTACTCCAGGTACCTTGTGTGGAGGTTCTTCAGCAGGTTCACTATTAAATTCACGGATTCTTTAACGTAGTTGGATCGGTAACTGACGAATGTCTTTTCTCGCGCTTAAGTGCTTTCCGACAGGCGTAAGACCTAGTGAGTAGTGATTTGATAAAATTGCGTCGTTTTGTGGTAATACCGGTGTTGAATTTATGAACAATATGTAAGTTTATTCCAGACATATTTAGTATCCAAAAGAATACAGTCAGAGGCCACCTTTTGGAATTGCGGCTTACGTCGTATGTTGCGGATAACTCGTCTGCAACTTCTACTCCACCTTTAGTGGAGTTATAAAAGGTATTTTTCTCTGTTTTTTTAATTATGTTAAAAATACAAATCAAAAGTGGCACAAAAGTACTACGTCACGTATTACGTAGGGTCATATGTTTCATCGTAGTTCATAATGATCAAAAACAACCTAAAAATAAAACAATTATGTAAAAAAATACAAATCCAAAATGGTGCAAAAGTACTACGTCATGCATTACGTAGGGTCATATTTACACTATTCAACTTTGCGCGCGTCTATCTCCTTGCTCATGTGCTGGTCGAATGAGAACAGGTACGCAGCGAAGATGGCAACAACATGGCAACAGCGCAAAATAAGCTGTCAACGATTTAAAACGAGCAGGGTAATATTGACCCCTCCTAATCCTTGCCGGGTTAATGTGTAGTGTTCGTATAAATACATAAAATCATTATGCATTTTTAACACTGCTATTCGACGCTTGTATTGATATATTATATCTGGTATAATTACTTAATTATTCTTTCTCGGTCTATCGAAGACCATTAGATCATCTGGTATAAGCCTAACTTACATTTCACTATACCAACGGTTAAAATGTGAAAATATAAAACTCTAAGATTTTGTGGTTGTACGGTTACAGATATTATCACCAGCCCAGAGTTAACTGACAATTATTGCTTCATTAATAACCCATTGAATATCATATAAAATACACGCCTGTTTTCTCTTTACAACTACGTGTAAATATCAACAATAAGTACATACTCGTAAACAATCAAGCTGCTTGTGAAATTCTCGCAGTCGAGCATCGTCGTCATGGTGCGTTAGTGGCGGTAGGGGCTGCGGTTGAGCACGCGGGTGCCCACGACATCTTGCATATGCTGCACCACCCGCCACGAGGGCGATGCACAGAATAGCACCGCACGCGCCACCGACTAACACCTGTATACGTAAGAAAAGTATCATTTCGTTAAATCATAAATTTTCTTTATTTTTTTTTATGAAGAGGGGGCATACGAGCATGCGGCTCACCTGATGTTAAGTGACTACCGCCGCCCATGATCAACCGCAACACCAGGGGAATTGCAGGTACGTTGCCGGCCCTTTAGAAAGAAGTATTTAGTAGTGTATTCTTAAAAATAAACATGATTTATTTTTAAGAATAGGGTGACAAACAAGCACACAGTCCACCTGATGGTAAATGCATTCTATGGCCCATAGACATCTACATTTATCCTCGATTAAGAATAAAAATGCAAATGCGTGTTCACCCGTGAGGTCTAAGATGAAATGTCTCGTTTCCAGCAAAAAGGGTCTCCGGTTCTCTACACTCACCATACGAAACAAAGCAGCATGGAGCAGCTATTTTACGTTGGTATTCTTTGAGAGCGTGGCCCTACCTCGGTCGAGCCGACCCATCCTTGCTACAACTATAATATAGTTGCAGCGTGGCTCTACCACGTATAATGATGGTTATGACGATAATGTTCACAAGCATAAATCCCATGTACGTGATGTACCTTATTTTTAAGAAATAATGGAGACAAACATACACAGATGTTATACAAATGCTTAGTCATCAGAGAACTAAGTTGGAATTCCTTGTTATCAGTTGTTCGTTAAGTTCAACTCTGAGGTAATCGTTATTAATATAAATAGCAATTATGAAAAACGTTGCTTTAAATAAAATTTTATGTAAATTTAAAAAGCATATATTTGACCAACAAGTGTTCGGCAGTGAAAAAACCATAGTAAGAAAACCGGATATTTCGAGGACATATGAAATCCACAAACAGGCACTGGAGCGGTGCGTCTAACTAATTATTCCATTACCTTTTCCGACTTGCGAAGAGCTCTCCGTGCTCTGCAATGGGATGTATTTAGACTACTATAATTTTAGAGGGTTATCGGTATTAATGGAGTTGTTTCTAGTCGAAACACCCACAGTTATAATGATTTATAATATATGTTATTTTCTTTATATTACATCGAAATATCTAGTTTCGGTTTTTTTAACAACAGACTTGCTGTGTCCAAATTAATCATTAGACTGTTTAACATAAATCACTGTTACTGTACACGTAAGCGAAAAAAGTCAATAAAGAAATATCCGAAAATTTTCACACGACGATATCTTTAGTGTAATAAAGATATTGAAAGGTAACAAAATTTATCTATACATTCATTGCATCTATATAGGTCGGGGAAAGAGTTTCTTCGTATATTGTTTGTATAAATTTGAAGAAAAATATTATTTGTTGTGCTGTTTCTATATGACTGGTTTTTATATCAATACATATAAGATTTTACGAAAAAGAAAAATAAAAAGTAAAAAACACTTTCTCGACATTTTAATGGTTTCTTTGTCCGCTAAAAATAGTGAATCTAACGAAGAAATTCGATACATTCTGAAGTTTTATTAGAAAAGAGGGAAAAATGCGATTCAAGCCGCAAAAAATATTTGACGTTTATGGACCTAATGCAGTATCGGTAAGAGTAGCACAAAGTCGGTTCAAGCGTTTTCGAAATTTTGATGTCAAAGATGTAGTTCGCTCTGGTCGCCATCATATAGATAAAGTAGATGCCATTTAAAAAACAGTAGAGCAAGATCGGCATATTTGCAGTTACAACATAGCCGAGGGATTGGGGATTGACCACAAAACAGTTTTGAAAAGTCTGGCTATACAAAACACCTCGATATTTGGGTACCACACGAGCTTACTGAAAGAAACATAATGAATCGTGTACTCGTTTGAGATTCTCTATTGAAACGTAATGAAACTGAAATATTTTTGAAAAGATTATCATTGCTGATAAAAGTGGATTACCTACGACAAGAAAGTGCAAGGAAGATCATGACCAAAGGGTATTCAAGCTCCTCAGACTGTAACGAAACCAGAACTAGAACGTAATAACGTGATGCTGTGTGTATGGTGGGATTGGAAGGGCATCACTTATTATGAGCTTTTACCGACGGGCAAAATCATCAATTCGGATCTCTTCTGCCAACAACGAAAATTGCCAAATGCCAAAAAAAAACGGCCGTAATTGATCAACAGAAAAGGAGTGATCTTTCATCGTGATAACGCCACACCACACACATTTTTGGCCACTCAGCAGAAATAGAGAGAGCTTGGTTGGGATGTGCTAATGCATCCACCGTATAGTCCCATTTTTGCAATTTCAGATTTTCATCTATTTCGGTCTCTTCAGAATTTTTTGGGTAGTATTAGGTTAACATCAAGAGAAGACTGTCAAAACTACTTGTCGCATTTTTTTGATATATAATCCCAGGATTTCTACAGCAACGGGATTATGTTACTATGTACCTACAAGATGGAAGAAACTTTTCCCCCCGACCTATTTATTATATTTATAGGTGCAATGAATGTATAAATAAATTTGTACATTCCACTTTACAGATGGATTACTTTAGTGTATAAAATGATTCACAGAAAATTGAACTAAGATTTTAAACAAATACATTTTGCAACTATAATAGAATTCTATGCATAGGTATAAAAGCTAAAAAAAAGTAAAGTTACAGCCTATATACATCCCACTGCTGGGCACAGGCCACCCTCATTTCTGAGAAGGCTTAAGGGCAAGGGAGTGTCCGCCGCGCTGCCCCAATGCGTGTTGGCGAACTTCACATGTCTTCGAAATATTTTTTTTCTTATTCCTCAGACATGCAGGTTTCCTCACGATGTTTTCCTTCACCGCCGAGCACATGGTAAATCAGCACTTAAAATTGCAATTAACAATTCCATTGGTGCCGGCGGGGATCGAACCCGGTTTACTCGCGTTCTACTATATTTACAGCGAGCGTTAACCATCTGAGCTACCACGGCTCTCAAAGCTAAAAATGAGATAAATTTTTTTAGCAGGTTCCCGCGACTCCAAATTTATTACGATTGGATTTCATGGGAATTATATATAATATTTTTGCGCGGCACCCCGATTCCATTTCTAAAATAAAAGTGGCCCAAGTTACTCATTATAACTTTAGCTATCTGCCAGGAAAGTCCCATCAAAATCATACCAGCCGTTTCAGAGACTAGCCGGAGACAGACAAAAAATTTTAAAATTGTGTTTTTTTGTTATAGTTGTCGTATATACTTTTATACGCATTTAGTAAAAAGCTGTTTTGAAATTAGAAATAGATACTTCAATTTTATTTATTTGTAACGAAATTGGCAGAATTGCCTTTTATTAATATATTTTCTGACCTCCACTGTCAAAACAAAATAAAAAGGAAAAAACGTATAGAAATTCGTCTTCGGAGACGAATCCCTCAATTTGGGAGGTAGGTACGTAGACCCTTGAGTCATGCGGTTGTTAAAAGGATGTAAGGTAAAGCAATAAATCGCTTGGCTGCACGAAAGGTGAAAAATATTTTATCACTATTCAATAAAATATCTCCTTTGACGAGCGTTGCAAAATTTTTTATGTTTGCGTATACTTTATGATATGGTATGCGACGTGACAGGATTTCTAATGCTAGATTTGTAAGTCCTCAAGTGTGTTATAAGCTTATAAGGAAGGAACCGTGAAATTAACCGGTCTTTATTTCGTGATTTTCGTTTGTATTGCCAGCGAGGTGTACCGTTGTACATAGAAAAAGTTTTAGGTCGTTGTTTATTATATTTAAGTAGGAAGGGAAAATAATTATTGCCATCAAAAATCATTACAGTCCTTCATAAGTACCCTGCTAAAAATTGGCTTCTCCAAAAATGCCACAAAACACGTATTTTTGTTATGTATATTACGTAATATGTCTTCGTACTGGCCGTATCGCCTTTTGACGATAGTACCGGGTTATTACGCTGCTTACTTTGAACTCAATTCCCAACCGCCACGAGCATTTTAGTCGGAAAACAATAATAGTTCGTAGTCGATTGGTTGAGTTAAAATTGCTCTCGTGCCTGTGTGACTCCATATTAATATACCTCAAACCTTATCAAGTTAGCGTTACATTTATCGCCACGTTAAACACGCCAAATACGTCACTGCCACGAATTCGTGAAATTTCCTTTCGCAAAATGATCCCTCTATGATTTGAGCCCTATTTATTTATCTTATGGGGGTCTTTCAAATTTAGTCCTTAATCCGACTGTTTTTTTGCATTTGAGAGAAAATATGCGTTACGAAATGGCAACCATCACGGAGTCTACATGCCGAGCCGTCATGTCAAATTTTGCTGTTCGTATGAGTTGTGTGCGTGATGGTTTTCAATTAGATGACATTTGTGAAGAAAAAACTTCCTAAACTTTATATAATTATGTAAAATTTTTATTGACACACGTCCTTTCCTTTATACTGATACATCAAATAGGTAAAACTTTGTATATAGGAGACACCTTGTGCATGAGTATGAAACCCTTATAAATAACTTCTCCTTCACCAGCGAGATGAGATTAAGAAACAATATAATTTGTTTAATTAGAAAAGACAATTACGCATTAAAATATATTTTATAGTATTGAATAAAATTATTAAGACAGCGTAAAGATAAAGTTTGAAATTTTGCGTTAGGATTGCTGAAATTTATTCCGTTCCAACAAGACATACACCGTTATAATTCAATTTATAAGATTTCTACGTTATATTTTTTGCGCAGATTTACAATAAAATGCCTATATCTTTTGTCATGGGAATTTATTTCATTTCCTTATAATTTTTTTATGAAAAATAAATATATTTTCATTTAGTGCAGACCGAAATGGCGGCAATATATGTTTACAAGAGCAAGGAATAAAAGTAAAGATCTCTGTTTCTAAGTTCTGGAGGCTTTATCCCGCGGCACATCTAGCGTTTAAAAGTCGTCAAATTTTATTGAATTATTAAAAAGACTGTAATTTAGGATAGACTTAAACTTTTTATACAGTAAAAATAGCTCCATTCTGGTTTGTTACGTACAATAACACTAATCCAAATATTTAAACAACATCCAAATATTTAAACAAACTTTCACATTTATAAATTAGTAGGATTATATGATAAAAAGTGGTTGCTAAACTTATTGTTTGACAGCTAAATCTTGTGTTTGAACGTAATTACAGCCATACATATAGTTTTTATTAACTACAAATATGCAATACGTAAATGAATTTGTGTGAAGTGTAATGTACAGACAACATTCACCGCTGCGTCTTTGTTTGAAGGTAATAAGAGGCAGTAAAATTACAAACTATGGCAGTCTTAATCTTCACGGCTAATGTATCTGTAGCCTTTCGTTGAAGTTGGTTGCAGGTGTCAATGATAGGTCTGCTACATCTGAAGACCAAACTATATTGAAAATTTTTGAAAATGTCGGGTTTTTGGGGTTGTTTGTCGGAATAAATAAATATTAAAAATAAAAAAAATATTTTTTTAACTAAGAGGCTACGGTAGTACTTAAAACAAAAGTAATTTAAGTCCCCTTAATTTTAGGTTGCAACATGTGTTTGGTATTTGACTTTACTAGAGTCCACCAATTTGGATCCTTTAGTAGTAATAGTCAGAAATATTTAAAATTCAAACAATTTACTTCAAAATTTGGTCTAATTACTGACTCAGCTTTTATTAAGCTCTTTGTCTGGATATTTTGAGTTTTGTCGGGAGTCTGGAGATCATTTAAAATATCGGTAGAATCCAGACGAATCTCGACTATCTGTCAACCCTCGTCCAAGGCTTCAGTAGATACTTAGCACCAGGTGGTCTGTTAGCTTGCTTGATACTCTTTCGTTATCTATACATATAAATAAAATAGAAGTGTCTGTTTGTAATATCAAAATAACTGCCTTTTATTGAGCTGAGTGTTATTGGCATTTAATAAGACATGAATAACCATTGACGGCACATTAATAGATCCAGACGAAGCCGGGGGCGCGTCGTTAGTAAAAAATAAAGTAATTCCATTCCGACAAGTGTATGGAGTACAACTGCCTGCATTTTAAAATATTTGATTTCGTAAACGTGTACGATAGTGCACAAGCACAGCGATGAACGTTTTAACATAAAGTAACTCCACGTGCAGCGCATTAAAGCGTCGCGTATGTTTATACTATTCGGCTGTTGGTAGGCAGCGGTCTGACCCCATTTCGGTACATAAAAATGTTTTTATAGTTTATGTTCCACCTTTGGATATCAAGTTTTACTATGTTATGAATTTCTATCGCGTAATTTATGTTTAAATAAAACACTCGCGTAATTATTTATTAATTTACTGGACGAACGGGAGCAATTCTACAAATCACTGCCCGGTAAGCCCGACACACAGACATGGTAGAGAAATACAACTCATGACGTCACATTGTTGGTGTGTTCACGTAATTTCTTAGACATGATAGTGGACAATTTTGGAGTACATATTTAACATGGATAAACCCTAAATAATTATTTGTAGGCCACACAAAATAATCAACCAAAAAATAACGTATTTTAATCATCCAGCAAAAATGAAAAGTTTAAGAAACTTGTTTGCACTTTCAATATATTGTACGTTACAAAAATAATTTAGAAAAATTCGAACAAAACCTTTATTATGAGACTAGCTGGCCAGGCAGACGTTTCTCTGCTCTTTCTGGTTGGTTACGCGATGATTTTCATTTTTACACGCACTCACGCACGCACGCACGCACGCACGCACGCACGAACGCACGCACGCACGCATGCACGCACGCATGCAGACGCACGCACGCACGCACGCACGCACGCACGCACGCACGAACACGCACACGCACACGCACAACAGATTTATTATATGTATAGATTATTTTTTATTTGTAATAAATACTGACTTCAATCATCATAAGATTTATCTAATACAATTTATGCGCGACCACTGTAAAATACAGGTACACCTAACCTTTTAATTCTGTAAAAACAGCGTGTACGGTTTAGATAATAATCATGAATACATCGTGTTAAAAAAATTTAAGGAAATGGAACGAAAATACAGTCGATTAGATAACCTCCTTTCCTTCTTTCCTATTACAAACCTTCTTTTCTTTTTATTAAAACCTTCATTAAAATCAATTCGATTCGATAAAAATTAAAAGATAAACGTATGGTTATTAAAATTGGTTGTTACTAAAACAAATCGATCGTTATGACTGCTAAAGTAGCCCATAATTGAATACAATTTCAATCAAGGTACAATCTAAATCAACTGGTATTGAAAACAAAAGCATTAAGATCATGTGTATAATTTTCCAAATTAGTTCAAGTGATGATCTTTACTGAAATAATTAACTGACCTCGTTATAAGTGTTAGAAGGATAGCACACTCGGCCCATAAGATGATCATCGTGCGCCCACGCCTCTCGTGTGCCAGCTGGACACTCGTGTGCACAACTCCCGCTTGGCCACACAAGCAGCCTCGCGCACTTTACGCATCCGTCCGCGCCGCATCGTACACATTCTGTGCCGCAACCTGGATCGCAGAATTAAAAAAAAAGTTAATGACAAATGGGACTCGCTCTCATTGCTTGTGTGTTAGTAGGCTAAATGTTAATAGTTATTACCGACATAAATATTAAAAATATGATACTCGTCTTAATTTACACCTCATGTTTATTATTACGGTAATTGTAATGAATTTGGAACATTCTTTCTTTTTAAGTTATATATATATATATATATATATATATATATATATATATATATATATATATATATATATATATATATAATCGTATATATCGTATATAATCGGAATCTCGGAAACGGCTCCAACGATTTTCATTAAATTTAGTGTCCTGGGAGTTTCAGGGGCAATAAATCGATCTAGCTAGGATTTATTTTTAGAAAATGTTTTTTTGTCCGTGTTTTCGGGTAATGAAAAACTGCTACAATATAAGAAGGTAAATTTTGACGCTGTGTTAATGATGGTAATATTTCAATTGGATATCGAGCGGTCGCGAAATCGTTATGCCTTGGTTCGCGCCCTGTCTTCGGTCCGACTTTTTTCCTTTTTTTTTCAAGTTCCCTTCTTTTGTGAGAAAATCTATTATTTTGAGCCCCTTTTTTTAGTATTTTTTAAAAATACAAAATTTTAATTAAAATAATTGCACTCATGATTTTTATATTTGTATAAATATCATGAGTGCAATTAGTTTAATTTAAATTTTTGTATTTTTCGCGAAACCTTAATGCCTTGGTTCGCGTAACCAGTTCAGTTTTTTCTATTATGTCAATAACATCAAAAAATATTATTCATGTTTCATCAGTATGTAATTTTTATCTAAAAATCATCCAGGTACTATATATATATATATATATATATATATATATATATATATATATATATATATATATATATATATATACAGAGAGAGAGAGAGAGAGAGAGAGAATTCGCAGCAGAATCAGACAGAGTATTCGATATAATCCAACGGATCTTTAAGCTGAAGTGTGATGGGGAAGAAAGGTTCTCGAGTGGCAGCCTCGTTCCGGTAAGCGAAGTGTAGAGCAGCCCCTACTATATGGAGTGACAAGACAAGAGATGCAGGAAGGCGATGGATGCAGGTGCCTCAGGATGGTGTTTTTTGTTCATGCACACTCCTTGGGGAAGGCTGTAATTATGATGAAAATTATAAAAATAATTTCTACAAGTTTACCTACTAATAATTTGAAGCCCTGTCTTGAGTTTTTGGGATATCCTAAATATTCAATATTGCCTTTTTGATTGTTTCGAATAAGTTAAACTTTCTAGTTATCAAAGATGATTCGCCTTCTAGTAATTTGTCTGGACTCTAGTCTGCTAGTCGGGAAAATAGTTATTGAATGTTTTTAATATTAAACTGTGAAAACATCAAAAGAACGTACTAGATATTAAAAAAAAGACTTACACACAAAATCAGGTCTACATAAGGATTACGAGTGTATAACTTACATAATTTCGAACATTAATATCTAAAAATTGTTGTAGAACTCTGACCTATTTTCTTCGCCAAATAGCAGTGTTTACATTGCTAGGTTCCACTGTAAAAGGTATAAAAAGCCATAATAATTAGAGACTGTGAGGCATTCTGAGTTAGTCCTCTGAGATGACAACGTATCTAACTGTAGCCTATTTTGTTTTAAGTTGGTTGCAGCTGTTAATGGCCTGCGGTGGTATTCCACCATCAGATAGACTGTAAGTTCGTTTGCCACTTCAGTTTTCTAAAAAGGAAAAAACTAGGCCGTGGACAAAGACTTGTATGTATATTACTAGACCGGCAAATCAGAACCAAAACTGTGTCACAGCTGTGGATCGGGCAGGCGCGGACGCGGGCCACGTGCTTGTATTTTCATTTGCTATAGTTACTGTTTTTAGGAAAATGCGAAACAGAGTAACATATTTATCTGAAATAAACTTCAAATCATAAATAATGACATCGGTTTCTTTGTTACATTAAACAAAAACAGTGTTATATTGTCGAAACTTACAAAACAAAGAACTAGTCTCTTCGCCCGCTTGCAATTGAGTAAAGAAGTCACGGAGAATTGACCGTCACTTTTTTTTCTTTTTATAAGCCAGTGCTTGACCACAATCCCACCTGGTGGTAAGTGGTGATGCAGACTTAGATGGTAAATCGCACTGTCTTAGCGTAACAAATGTCTATTCACTCTTGCCTTGAAGACGCCCAGATTGTACGACGGAACATAGACGTCGGATAGACGGAAGATAGATGCCGGAAAATTATTCCACTCCTTTCCTATACGCATTAAATAAGTCGAAGTAAACAGTTTGGTTCTAATGCGTGGAATATCAACAACAAAGGAGTGAAGACCCACCGATCGCCTGGTCTTCCGATGGTGGAAAGGAGAGGGAGGAATTAAGGAATGCATCCTATATTCTATAGGCTCGAGAGGCTGACTACTCTGCGTCTGTGCTCGAAGCTGACAAGGTTGGTTTCAACCAAATCAAGATCACCAATGAGTCTCTTAGCACGTCTCTGCACTGAATTCAACGCTGCCAGGTGGCATTTTGCAGAACCAGCCCATATGTGACAGCAGTACTCCATGCACGACCGGACTTGCGCTTTATATAAGGTAAGAAGCTGCCCCGGCGAGAAGTACCGCCGCACGCTTGCAAGAACACCAAGTTTCCTTGCGGCTGCTTTGGCTCTGGACTCAATGAACCACCCATAGTTGAGTTTCGGAGAAAATTTAACCCCCAACAACTGAAGATGGTCAGTGTACTCCAAGGATACATTCCAGAAAGTAGGAGCCACGTTAAGTGGGCTCTTTTTAGCATTGAAAAGATACGTTTGTGTTTTGAAGGCGTTGAATCTCATAAGATTTGCATCGCCCCATTCGGAAACTGCCTGTAGGGTGAGATTCACATGCTCAACCTTAGCTTCTTTTTCAAACTAGATTTGATCCCGACTGGCCCGAGTACTTGTTTGGTATCTCTCCACAACTGTGCTATGGTCTGCATACACATAGATACCGGGCGTAAGCGGATCATTAATATGCAGCAGGAAGAGAGTTGCGGAGAGAACGGACCCTTGAGAAACACCGGCGTCAGTCGCCACAGGATCGGATGAGCAGCCGTCGACAACGACCCGGAGAGACCGTTCACTCACAAAGTCCTTTACCCATTCGATCAGACCTGGGGATAAGTCGTACGCTGGAAGCTTAGCCAAAAGGCTAGCGTGCCAAACTATGTCAAAGGCCTTCGAGACATCAAGGGAAACAGCAAGTGCTTCGCCATTGTTCTCGAGTGCCTCGCCCCATATGTGTGTGGCATACGCTAGAAGGTCCCCAGCTGATCGATTTAGTACGCAATGTATTAAGGTCACCGAGCACATTTGCTTAATCAATTGAGGCCTCCCCACAAGATTGCCTCGTAGGGCACATCGGCATTACGTAGTATTAATAATATAACTTTATTGTAATATTAATAATATAAATTTATTACAATATTAATAATATATAATATCTTTATTTATTATATACTATAATTTCAAATAAGACATTTGTAAATCAAATCAATAGTTTTCTTATATAATTTATCAAGTTCAATGGAAAGCATGCATAGTTTCGGGCATCTTTCACAGAAAATTGATGTACTCGTCGTACATGTAGGAATTTTTATCTAATGTCTGGTCGCAATTCATAGCAAAACCCTAAATCACACACTCGGTAAGGTTCTGTAACAATGTTGTTTCCTATTTCCAATTGAAACATGCTCACTGTTATTTCAAATTTGGTTTACTTTATGGCAGACTTCAAAGAACTAAAAAGAATATAATATATATTGTATAGTCTGCCTAAATTTGAAAAAATATAAATTGAAGTGGCGACTATTTTTTTATTACATTTAAGTTCTGAGCTGTGTCTAAAGTGTCAAGCTTATCAGGAAGTTAGTTTGATATCCATTGCATTAATTTTACCGAACATAAAAAACATGGTAATAATTTTTTAAAGTGAATTTCAATTCTGGTGATATTATTAATTATTATCATATTATTATCATCAGTACGAGTTGCTACAGTTTGATATCTCTTACTAATGTGAGTACCAACTTTAACCTGTTGGCTTCGATTACTTAATTAGTCTTTGAACCAATCATAGGGAATGTCTTGTATAATACCCGTTGACTCCGTTCCCATTAATACTTGAAGAAGACTTGTCCAAGAAGTTGTTTATTATTATCTAAATAATTCGTCACATTTCATACATCATTTTATGGATGTCTGTTGTTATGAAATAAAAAAAAATTAAGTCTGATTTTAAAAGAAAGCGTATATCTTATGCGGTACTGGCTCATCATCATCATCATCATTACAGCCCTTCACAAGTCTCCTGCTGAACAAAGGCCTCCCCGAAGTAACGCCACAAAGCACGGTCCTGAGCCACTTGCATCCATCGACTTCCTGCATGTCTTACCAGGTCGTCACTCCATCTAGTGGGGGGTCGCCCTACACTACGCCTACCGGTACGAGGCTGCCACTCGAGAACCTTTCTTCCCCATCGGTTATCGGTTCTTCGAGCTATATGGCCGGCCCATTGCCACTTCAGCTTACTAATCCGTTGGGCTATGTCGGTCACTCTGGTTTTACTGCGGATATCCTCATTTCTGAGTCTATCACGCAGAGAAACTCCGAGCATAGCCCTCTCCATAACTCGCTGAGCGACCTTGAGCGTCATCATACGGCCAGCAGTGAAGGACCACGTCTCTGATCCGTAAGTCATCACTGGCAACACGCACTGGTTGTACACTTTAGTTTTCAGAGATTGAGATATACCTGACGAGAAGATGTGTCGTAATTTCCCGAACGCTGCCCAGCCGAGTTGAATCCGTCGATTGACCTCTCGGTCGAAGTTGGACTTACCTAGTCGGACTATTTGTCCCAGGTAAACGTACTCGTCAAAAAATTCAAGCATAGTGCTCCCAACAACTACCGGCATAGGTGAGACATGGACATTAAAGATGATCTTTGT